CCAATTGTGAATATTAACCATTTTCGAATCAACTTAATCACACAAACCAAATGTCACCAACATCGTTCCAGAAGAGGTCGTCACGATTCACAAGTATAAATTATTTGCAGTTTAGAGTATCTCTTACAGCATCCACGGGATAAAATGAGGTTTTATATAATGTGTTTATTTGTTTATTCAAGACTTCATGGCATAAAAATGCACAAAGGCGGACTTATCATTAATTAACGTTATCCTACATATATATATATATATATATATATATATATATATATATATATATATATATATATATATATATATATATATATATATATATATATATATATATCTACATATATATATATATATATATATATATATATATATATATATAGGATAACGTTAATTAATGATAAGTCCGCCTTTGTGCATTTTTATGCCATGAAGTCTTGAATAAACAAATAAACACATTATATAAAACCTCATTTTATCCCGTGGATGCTGTAAGAGATACTCTAAACTGCAAATAATTTATACTTGTGAATCGTGACGACCTCTTCTGGAACGATGTTGGTGACATTTGGTGTGTGATTAAGTTGATTCGAAAATGGTTAATATTCACAATTGGACCCGGTAGGTGGCGCTGTTCTCGAGATCCAAAAATGACCCGTGAGGAGCCGGAACGGATGGCTAATAATTAGTGCAAAAATAATTTAAAATAAATATTGTGAAACTGGTACATAAGTTTATCCACATCACAAAAAAATAAATTCAAATAATTAAAAAAAAGAGTTCTATACGCCCGTCCGTAGACAGATAAACCTATTGACAAATTGACGCCTTCTTTCGCATTCGCACACGAAAAAGATAGATTTATGCATACGTCTTGCATAGAAATGAGATAGAGCGGTGTGAATGTTTGTCCCTTTCTCCGTGCCGTTTTTTTGTTTAGCAAACTCTACAGTTTGCTAAACAACTTTAACAGCGTAGCGATTTAAGGAGTTTACAAGTTGGTTTAAGTGAGAAAAAGTGTTTTGTGAGCTTAAGATTGGTGAATCTTGTTCAGTTCAGTTCTTAGAACAATTAAAATTTTTATCTAAATGTGTTTAAAAGTCACAAAGATTATTGTATAACCTAAAAAATTACGTTATCGTCCTTTCTCACTCGAGGCCACGCTAATCATTGGTTTATAGGTTTCTCTGTCTACGCGCCCGTCAGATGTTTTTTTTTAATTTAGGGACTTACGTTATTTTTAACATGTCAGTCCCATTGTACCTTATAACTAAATAACACACTAGAATTTCTTAAATTATTTGAGCAGCATTAGATAATGTTTCAGACAGAATGCTTTGATATTCTCCTAGGTTACATATTTTAAGTTCAGTTTTGGCAACTAATAGTTTTCTTTCATGATGAGCCCGTCAGATGTGAAACATCAATATTCAATTACATTTATTTCTATCTATTTTCTGTGATGTTGGTGCTGTTAGCCTATATGTCTTTTTTTTCTTTTTTTTTTTTGGTCTACAAAACTGAACACAGTTACAACGTGCTGACAGGTATTATATAGAACAAATATTTCCAAAATCGTATTCTTTTCTTTTTTTTAAACGTTACCCCTACTCTAAGATTTTCTCTTGTATTGTGGGGGCAGTTTACAAACATAAATTGCACAAGGACGAACATTCAGACCCGGAACAACTACTTGTAAGCCATACAAATACTTGTTCCGCACGGGATTCGAACCCGCGACCCCCAGCGCAGCTATTCATTGCTAAGCCACTGCGCCACGGAGTCGTCAATTCTAATATGTATGTAAACACAGCTTGCACAAAATTTATATGTAATAATTAACAATAAGGCTTGATATTTTAAGTTATAATATATTAATAAAGTAAATATCAAATTAACTTTTACAGCTTCATTTGACACAGGGCTGATGAAAAAGGAAAAAGCAATGATGAAGAGGATGATTATGGTTTATGATTTGGTATTGTTACTAATCGTCATGTCGCCTCTGTGGCAGAGTTTTTGAACTATCTAACCGCTGTCCGAGTGCCCCCGTCTCTGACTGATCAGCTCGTGCCAATCGATGTTCAGGCACGCGGTGTGTGCTGGAACACGTTGCGCCCGCCTACGGGTGCGACGCGCTCCATCCGTTATCCTACTTGTGATTGTTCCATTTGGTGTGGGTATGGCGTCAATGTTTATTGTGCTTGCGACGTTTGGGTCGATAGTGTTGTGTCGACATAAAATAGCATCATGCCGTTTGCCGGTACGACATAAAAGTTGGTTTTAGTGGCAAGGCGCATCTATAGATGGCACATTAATTTTCACATCAAACGTTACCCTTATTTATGCATCCTTAGAGTATGGCTTCTTTAACACGTTCTCTGTCCGCATATAAAATCATGATTACACCTACATGTCTACTTCATATTTCGATTATAATAGTTTAATACAGATCCCAGCAATACAGTTTAGATGTTATTTATTTTTCATTTCTTTTGGTTTTTTTTTAATAGGCCAAAAACCCAATGAGGTCAACCCCGACCTCACGTACGTGTGAGTATGAAATTATGTTATGTTAATAAATATAAATATTAATAGCAAAGGTCGTGAGGTAGGAGTGACCTCATGAACGTGTCAGTAGAAGACTCAATGAGGGGCAGGGTTTAGCTCATGGACAAGGATCGTGTTAATAGAAAAAGAATGCTCAAAATCGGTTCACTATCAGCGGAGATATTGCGTAACATACCAAGAGTACAGCCTAAATAAGAACTTCCCATTTTTAAATTATGTTAATAAGACACGCTAATGTAATAAAATGCAGTCGTGTGTATTTGTGTATGTATTTGTATTTTAAAATTATTTTTGTTACTTGATATCCAGGTGGTAGGACTCTTCTGCCTTGGAATCTTACCTATTTCTGCTACCGAATAGCAGTACACTACTGTGTTCCTGTCTGAAGAGTATAGAGATCCAGCACAATTAAGTACAGGTTGAGTCACTTAGTCTTCAGAGGTGTGAATACAAATACATAAGTTAGCATCTTATTAACGTTCCAAACTGTTTTATATCCGTAATGAGACAAAAGTACTACTTCCCTGAGTCTGGATAAATCGTTCTAAGCTGGAGCTGCTAGAATTATAAATACCACCACCCCGCACTCACGCGTCTATTAATTTTACGACGTATGCATAAATCTATCTTTTTTCGTGTGCGAATGCGAAAGAAGGCGTCAATTTGTCAATAGGTTTATCTGTCTACGGACGGGCGTATAGAACTCTTTTTTTTTTAATTATTTGAATTTATTTTTTTGTGATGTGGATAAACTTATGTACCAGTTTCACAATATTTATTTTAAATTATTTTTGCACTAATTATTAGCCATCCGTTCCGGCTCCTCACGGGTGATTTTTGGATCTCGAGAACAGCGCCACCTACCGGGTCCAATTGTGAATATTAACCATTTTCGAATCAACTTAATCACACACCAAATGTCACCAACATCGTTCCAGAAGAGGTCGTCACGATTCACAAGTATAAATTATTTGCAGTTTAGAGTATCTCTTACAGCATCCACGGGATAAAATGAGGTTTTATATAATGTGTTTATTTGTTTATTCATGGCATAAAAATGCACAAAGGCGGACTTATCATTAATTAACGTTATCCTACATATATATATATATATATATATATATATATATATATATATATATATATATATATATATATATATATATATATTGGCGCATCGTTAATGATTGTGTACATGTCATGTAAAAAGAACGCTGGCGGTCAAGCTGCACATTAGGCGATTTATCGATCGGTCTGTTTAGTTGTATGAGGTGCGACTCGGGGCGGGCGGGTCACGCGCCGCATGCTTGCCGGTGCGCTATTGGTTCGCCATCGCGAAATACCATAGGCATAGACGCTTGGTCAAAGTGCACGCGGGTGATGAAGCAGATTTTGTACCGAAGCTTTGCTAACGTTCATCCGGCGTTAAAGCGACGAATATCATAACAGGAATTCAGAGAATTACGAGCGGTGAACGGTCCGTACTAAACCGATGCCGAATTTACCGCCTAATTCAGTCGTCATTTGCCTTATAATACATTTGCCCCCATATCACACGGATATCTGACCTGGTTAATGAAAAAATAAATTTAATGGGAGCAACAGAATGGAGAAACTTACGCACTAAGGTAAAGGAAATTATGGAGGATTATTGTAAAAGCGATCATGTGGTCGACATGCTGAAAGAAACATTTATTCTTCGCCTAGCAGTGATGATCCTGACTCAAATGAGGATGACAGCTCAAGTGACAACAGCGGCGATGCTACCTCTGTTGATGTCTGACACCGCTGCCTCATCTGGTTTATACGTTACCCACTATGTCTTAATGGAAGGAGAATCAACATTACTTTAATTGTTTGTAATTAGCTTTAACATTCTACACTGAATCAAACATGTTTTTAATTCTATTTAATAACCAATATACGAAGCCGCAAGCGAAAGGATAGGTCAAAAATAAAACAATAGGCCTAGTACTTTCGTGCGCGAGTGTAACCATGCGTAAACACACCGCATGTTCTTTTTACATAACGCGTACTCAAACTTCGGAACCAATCCACCGACTGAGTTACACAATAAAATTGTTTTGTCGAGACAATAATTCATAACCATACTAGGATCCTATAGATGGCGCTGTACTAAAATTCTTAATAAACTCTATATTTATATCTATAAAACTTTTACTGTCCGATTTTCAGACACAATGCTAAGACAACGGCAACTATTTGCAGAACACGGGACAGCGAATGGGTTAACGACCCATTCACAATATTAGTTTAGTGTAAAAAACAATCACCAAATCTGTACACGATAGATAGCGCTGTGGTCGAGTAATTAATTAATTTTATATTTACACAAATTCTACTTGAAACTCATAGCGCCACCTATAAGAAAGGCCAAGACCACGTCTACCAGGTCAGGAAGTATTTAATATACATTATATTTCGGGTGTTATCGTAAGGGTGATCCGTTGACGTCCGCGCACTACTAACATTTCCAAGCGACCGGTGGAGCCCTCTAGAAGTGTATAGATGTCGCTAGCGCTGCAAAAACAGAAGTACATTCGTTTAGGCTTGTATTTAAATTACCGTAATAGTAACCGTTACAGCCTATTACAGTTCACTGCTGAACATAGGTTCCCCCCATAGATTGCCTCAGAAGGGAATTATTTGCCACAGTTGCCACGCTAAGCAAGCGGGTTGGCAACCGCTGTTTTTTTAGCCGTTATTAGGATGACGCTGCTGCCCATCTCCTGATTTGTTTCTCTCAGTCGCCTCTTATGACACGGGGTGATATGATATGGGGTAGCAGATATTCATACACAGACAATACCGGGTATTTAAATTAATATTCTAAAATTTTGACTTTTGTCGCGATACCATCCATACCATCTGGATAATTGGCGGTCCAACAATGTGTGATTTACTAGAAGTTTTCTTCCTCGCACAATTTTCTTTGTGGAATCGACTACCAACCGCAAAACAAAAATAACACTTATGGCGCCATCTGTTGACCCACAACAAAAGCCTCTGTAAAAGAAGTCGACGCGATCGATACCCACATGTAATCAAGATTCAAGACGAATTGCATCGGTAATAGCTGTTCTTGTTTAAACCTTCCAAGATAAAAAGTCTCTTTCTGTCGGATTGCAGTCTCATTGAACTATGAGAGTAGAGAGTGCACCTGTGCTTGCGCATACATTCGGTCACTATACTCCTGTCCTGCGCAGAAGACAGTCTCCATTGAGACTGGCCTCGTATAAAATAATAAAAAAGTGCGGTTATCAACCAAGTGGCCGGTTGCCAAGCCCAATAAGGCAATCTAAGTGGGAGATCTATGATTAGCTGTGGACCTTTATCGGCTGCAATGGATGGACGATTCTACTTACCTATACACCGGCTTCCCATTAATTGTAGTCACTATGTCACCGGGCTGCAGACCGCCGCTGTGGACAAACATCAAAATGAGTATCAACTCTTGGAAAACACTTCATCTTCTTCAGTTTATAATCAGACCTTATGCATAGGGTAGTATAAATACGTTGTTAACAACATACATGAAATGCACAGAGCACCGTCAAACATGATTTGTTGAATTATGTCCGGTTAAGCGAAATTTTCACTTAACCACCAACAAACATAATATTTTAAAATAAAATTGAACAACAATATTACTTATATTGTTGCGCGCTATAATTAGCGCACGGTATATGGCGGATGATTATTAGCGCCATCTGGTACCAAGCAGCAGAAATAGGAGCGTCAAGACCTTTCTAGAACTCTCCCACTATCGCCATCTAGTATCGAATAGAAGAACTAAGTCTGCTAGAAAACTCCACACCCGAATTTCCTATATCTAGTCGGCCGGGACCGGTATTTGCTGGAACATTCTAGATGATTCGGTGGAAAAGGCCAATATAACATATTCTTTTTTTACTATTCTAAGCCAATGCTTTACAACTATCTCACCAAGTGGGAAGTGAAGCACCCGAAGATGGCGAAGCACACTGGCTTAACTAAAGACTTTTGCACTCTTGCCTTAAATTTCTCCTTGCCCAATATTTTAATTTAGAAATAATCCTCGTTAATGATATATTAAAACATGTGCAAGCTTGTACCTATACTCTTATTTCATGTGAGTGCTTTCTATTAGATTATTTAAGGAAAAAACTATTTATTACATTAAAATTTATTTATTACATTAAAATTTACCATCCAACTAAAAAGCACAACAAATTATTCAAAAAATAAAACATCAAAATAAAATATTTAAAGTAGTATACAAAAAAAGAAATATTTTATCGCAGGTACATAATAAAAACACAATAAACGTTTTGTATATTTCCTCCTGTGTCAACCCTACAAAATAGATAAAAAATTTAACAGCTCCTTAGCTTGCTTTGCTTCTGTACGGTTTCTTTACTCACGTGCTATTTTCGCGCAAAAAAACCTAGCCGCCATTAAACTCGTGACGTCACTGCCCTTGTGAAAATAACGATTTTACAAAGGAAAAAATATTTTTGGATATTTAATAATGAGTTTTCTTTATCATTGTTGTTCCTGAATGCAAAATACGAGCACAAGAACGCCGGAAAATTTATGGATTCAAGTGCCAACTGATTTTACTATGAGAAATACTTGGTTAAAACTAGCAAGAAGAGACCCGAGTGTATTGTTTACCAAAACTAGACTATACTTCTGTGACGATCACTTTGATGTAAGTATGACTTATATTTAACTATCGTTTGTACAAAACAAAACATCGTGAGGTTTTGCAAGTCAAATTTTGTAATAGATTAGGTTTTCTTGGATATAATTGACGATTGCTAATGATTGTGATCATAGATAAACATAACTATATATTATCAAAAAACACTCTGATCTGGTATTGATTTATTGTATAAACTAAATATGTTAATAGGTACTTGCATTGATGTTTTAACATTCCTCAACTCGGCAGAACAAAAATCAGGATTGCGTGCAAAAAATTATGTCACCATCAATATATTTATCATTGGTAGATTAGTACTTTATGCTTTTGCGAATCCGTCTTTCATGATGACATTTCAATAAAATACGGAATAAAGTCATCAATCGTAATAATAACTTGAAAAATTTCGAAATAACACAGCATATTAACTTGTTTACTATAAAAGTGATGTCACAATGGAATCCAATATGGCGGATAGCGTTTTTCTTAAAATTGAATTATAATATTTGCATTATTATGAATAGTAATCAACATTTCTTGTTTACCTTTTACAAAATCTATCATAAATATGTATGTATTTTTTTATCATCATTATCATCATCATTACAGCCCTTCACAAGTCCACTGCCAATCATAGGCCTCCCCCAAGTAATGCCACAAAGCACGGTCCTGAGCCACCTGCATCCATCGACTTCCTGCATGTCTTACCAGGTCGTCACTCCATCTAGTGGGGGGTCGCCCTACACTACGCCTACCGGTACGAGGCTGCCACTCGAGAACCTTTCTTCCCCATCGGTTATCGGTTCTTCGAACTATATGGCCGGCCCATTGCCACTTCAGCTTACTAATCCGTTGGGCTATGTCGGTCACTCCGGTTTCACTGCGGATATCCTCATTTCTGAGTCTATCACGCAGTGAAACTCCGAGCATAGCCCTCTCTATAGCTCGCTGAGCGACCTTGAGCGTCCTCATACGGCCAGCGGTGAAGGACCACGTCTCAGATCCGTAATTCATCACTGGCAACACGCACTGGTTGTACACTTTAGTTTTCAGAGATTGAGGTATACCTGATGAGAAGATGTGTTGTAATTTCCCGAACGCTGCCCAGCCAAGTTGAATCCGTCGATTGACCTCTCGGTCGAAGTTGGACTTACCTAGTCGGACTATTTGTCCCAGGTAAACGTACTCGTCAACAACTTCGAGCATAGTGCTCCCAACAATTACCAGCATAGGTGTGACATGGACATTAAACATGATCTTTGTTTTGTCCATGTTCATCTTAAGACCTATCCGTTGGGAGACACCATTGAGGTCATTGAGCATAGTGCTAAGGTCCTCCAGCGATTCTGCCATAAGGACTATATCGTTGGCAAATCGAAGGTCAGTGATGTACTCGCCATTGATGTTAATACCGTATCCTTTCCAGTCCAGTAGCTTGAGAACGTCTTCCAACGCAGCGGTGAAGAGTTTCGGGGATATAACATCACCCTGTCTTACACCTCTCTGCAGTTGGATAGGTTTCGTACTCTGGTTCTGTACTCGGATAGCCATCGTAGCCCTACTGTACAAACACTTTAGCACTTCGATATACCGACAGTCAACTAGGCACCGCTGAAGAGACTGTAGCACCGCCCAAATTTCGACGGAATCAAAGGCTTTCTCATAGTCCACATACGCCAGGCAAAGTGGCAGATTGTACTCTTCGGACTTCTGTACAATTAGCCGAAGGGTATGTATGTGGTCTATGGTACTGAAGCCTTTTCGGAAACCGGCTTGTTCAGGAGGCTGGAAGTCGTCGAGTCTGCGTGTGAGACGATTCGTAATGACTCTCGAAAACAGCACGTAGACGCGGCTCAGAAGGGAAATCGGTCTGTAGTTCTTCAAGAGAGCGTTGTCGCCTTTCTTAAAGAACAAGACCACCGCGCTTCTGCTCCACGCCTCCGGAGTAATGCCACCATGGAGGACGGAATTGAAGAGCTTCTGAAGGACTTCAAGTACCGGTGTTCCACGCGCTTTCAGAAGCTCCGCTGTAATTCCATCCTCGCCCGGGGCCTTGCCGTTTTTAAGGTGGTGGAGAGCCATTCTAATCTTGCTCAGACTGACGTCCGGGATATCATCGGAATAGTGTCGGATAAGACTTGCTCTTGGATCGTTACTCACGCTTGCGTGTGGCTCCAACGATGATGTGTACAGCTGCCCACAGAACCTCTCAATCTCACTCAGAATCTCAGGTGTTCCGGAAACGACGTTGCCACACTCAGTCTTCAGCCTTGACAGTTGGCTCCTTCTGGCAGACAGATCTCTGGCAAAGACTTTGGAGCCCTGGTTCCGCTCGATCGCTTCTTTAATACGAGCAGTATTAAAGTTGCGTAAGTCTCGCCGCATGCATTTGGAGATCTGTGTGTTCAGCTGCCTGAATGCTGTCAAATCTGATGACGATTGCAACCTTATCTCCCCGTCTAACAGCCATGAGATTAAGAGTGTGATCGGAGAGTTTTTGTGTTCTTCTGCGGCGGGTCTTGCAGAACTTAGCTCCGACCGCATGGACAGTTTCCACGAGCTTGTCATTCATATCGTCCACTGCATTGCAATCCTCTAGGCACTGAAAGCGGTTTTGTAACTCGAGCTGAAAGGTTTCGGGATTCTTGATTAGAGCACGAGGGGGACGGAGCGTTGACTTCATTAGACGAGACCTCTCCAACTTAACGTTTAGGTTCAGTGTGCCTCTAACCATTCGGTGATCGCTGCCAGTTTTCACCCTTGCGATCACTGAAACATCACTGAACAGTTGGCGTCTGGTCGTCATAATGAAGTCAATCTCATTTTTTGTCGAAACCGTCGGGGCTCGACCAGGTCCACTTCCTGTGGGGCCGCTTCTGGAAGAAAGAGTTCATCATAAAGAGTCCCTCTTTCTCCATAAAGTCGGCCAGCTGCTGGCCCCTTTGGTTCCGTTGCCATACTCCAAATTTCCCCACCTTCAGTTCACCGCTTTCTCTTGTGCCCAGTTTTGCGTTGAAGTCTCCCATCAACACCGTGTAGTGGGTTTTGGAGGAATGCATGGCTCTGGAAATATCCTCATACATTTCCTCCACCTCCTCATCGGGATGTGCCGAGGTTGGTGCGTAAACCTGTATGACCTTCAGCGAATACCGTTTGGTGATTCTGAGTATCAGGTACGCGACCCTCGTCGACACACTCCCAATCTTTACAACGTTGTTGACGAGAGCCTTGTGGACGATAAATCCGACACCTCCTTGGGACAGATGGTCGCCCTCCAGGTGGTAGAACAAGTTGCCGGAGTCGAGGATTGCCGTATCCTCCCCCCTCTCTTTGGACCTCGGATAATCCAATAATATGCCAGCGCAACTTGTCTACCTCTTCTTCCAGCTCCAGTATCTTCTCGTCAGTCCTCAGGGTGCGTGCGTTATATGTTGCCAGGTCGAGTCGTCGTAGGTGGCAACCGAACCTCCACCGGAGATTCTTAGCACCCCCTGCCCCGCCGTTACCATGGTCGCCACCGTATCCAGGAATAGCGGGGCCGCCGGGGACTGGGGGCCGTTTTTTTGCGTCATTATTCATGGGGGGATATTTGCCATAGTTGCCACGCTTGGCGAGCGGGTTGGCAACCGCAGTTTTTTTTTATAACGTACAGTTGCTGTTATCAGGAAGATGCTGCTGCCCATCTCCTGCCTGTCTCCCTCTGTCGCCTCTTACGACACCCACGGGAAGATATGGGGTAGTTCTCAACCGCCACTACACGGAAAATAAATGTATTTTTTACATGGTACTAAATACCCTATCCCTTATCTTGGCACGATATCACGGGGAGTAGGATAGAAACAAAAACTTTTTATTTAATATAGAACAAGATTACAATAATAGTTATTGAAAGTCACTCTTTAACTGTATGATAATAATTTAAGTTTTTACTTATAGACTTTTTATTATATATTTTTTCATTTTCTATATATAAAAATCAATTGCCGTTCGCTAGTCTCGCTAAAACTAAAAAATAGTATATAATAGTAATTGATCCTTATATTGTTACGAGCTGCTTGCCGATTGAATTACCAAAATTGACACTTTAATTACTGAACACCAATTAAAACTTAAATCATACTAATAATTAATCACACTTTAGTTCACTTTATTTCGCTCCGAAAGCTTCGCTCGCGTCGTCAATTTAACATTGCCCCGATCGCGGCTTTCAACGGCTTTATATAGGATTTTTCCACCGAAACATCCAGAATATTCCAGTAAATACCGGCACCGACCGACCAGAGTTCGAGTGTGGGGCTTTTAGAAAGCTTAGTTCTTCCATTCGATACCAGATGGCGCCAGTGGGAGAGTTCTAGAGAGAGAGACCATGACATTCCTATTTCTGCTGCTTGATACCAGATGGCGCTAATAATTAGCCGCCACATACCAGGCGCTAATTATAGCGCGCAACAATATATAGAGGTTATAAATATTTCATTTTTATTTCATCCTAAGGTATCAAACGAAAACATTGCATCGTATTCTACAGCTCAAGCTACATAAGTTTAAAACACAGTGTGGTTTTTTGTTTCTAATCAATTTAGTTTATTATTTTATTTATTCATTAACTTTCTAGGAAACCAGAAGATCGGCAGTAGTGTCTTCTTCATAACAACTAAAAAATAAAAACTGTGATTGCCTGCTTAGTGTGTAGTTGTCTATAACAAATATGTAAGAGGTAATTTATGGGGAGTTTTAGAAATGAACGTCAATAGGCTGTAATTAATGAATTAAATAATCTTACTTGTATGCCGGGGAGCCAATTATAACTTTCCAGACAAGAATGCCGTGCTTGATGTCAGTCGGCATCTGAAATAAGCAATTATTTATTTATTTATAACATTAAATAGTTTACAATCATCAATGTATTTGTTTTTTGTTTTATTCCGAACTCCAGCTTTTATACATTTCACTTATTACAAAAGGGGAATGGCAGGCTTGTATGGGAGTTTCGTACCGCTAATAAAATTTCGTGTTTTGGGATATTTTTAGTTTTAATTGGTAGATAGTAGGATAGACAAACCCCTTTTAAATTCTTAGATTTTTAAAACTTGGGAGAAAAAAGTTATAACCAGTTTTAATTTTTAAGATTATCTCCACAGACTAATATATAATATTATGAACTAGTGTTGCAATTTTTTTTTCTTTAACTGGCTTTACGGCTTTGGGTTCTAGCCCTTCTGAGGCTATCATTTATTTCGTAATCTTAGTTTTTATATATTTTTTTCATCACAATATGCTGATGCGTCACTTTTTGCGTCACAGTTTTTGGGAGATTATATCAACATCAAACCACTTGTTCGTCGTTTTCTCTAATAGTTCACACGCGCAGATTACTCACAAAATCGCACGACTTTTACGAATCAAAATCTACCTACCATTATTCAAGCAAAAAACAGGAGCGACAATACGTCGACGGCCAAAACCTCTCCTCGTGTACCTATGTAGATCGTTACATATAGGCAAATAAACGTTTTAGTGATGAAGTAAATATTCTATATTGCTTTTCACTACTCTGTAGTGCTTTACTAACCATTTTTTTTTACAGAATAAGGGTGACAATCGAACAGACAGTCCACCCGATGATGAGTGCTGTGGCCCATAGACAGCTACATTTATCCTCGATTTAGAATCAAAATTCCGATGCGTTGTCACCTCTGAGGACTAGGATCGAATACCTCGTTTCCAGTAAAAAAGGGTCTCCGGATCTCTACACTCACCAAACGAAACACAGCAGTATTAAGCTGCTATTTTACACTGGTAATCTGCGAGAGCGTGGTTCTTCCCCGGTCGAGCAACTCATTCGTGCTACAACTATATTATAGCTACAGCGTGGTTCTACCATTAAGTAGGTAGACTGAGATGAGGATCGGTATCTACTCAGCGTTGTGAATTAGGAGATACCTATATTCAGCAGTGGACTGCAACAATTTGATAATGATGAAGTTCTGATGGGGTTTTGAGTGTAGGTAAATAAAAAATATTTTGTTTTTTAAGTTCATTTATTTTATTGTACTTATAATTAATTAATTCTTTATAAAACTTCATCTAAGAAGGGCAGGCCGGGTGATACCCTCATGGCGAGTATGGCGTAGTTACCAAATAATACTAATAACATAACGCATCTGCATTTTAATTCGTAATCGAGGATAGATGCAGATGTCTATGGGCCGCAGCAACCACTTACCATCAGGTGGACAGTGAGTTCGTTTGTCACTCTATCCTACATAAAAAATCTCCTAAAAATGCCTCGTGTAGAGGTGAAACACGTGTCGTATGTCGATGGTGTGTCTTTCCTGGAATAGTGGTGTTGGGAGTAGTGATGCCGGGAGTAGTGGGGCTGGGACTAGTGGTGCTGGGATTAGTGGTGACGGGATTAGTGCACGCAATTGAGGGAGGGCGGGAGGTGCTCTTCAATCCAGGTAAGACACATCATTGTATTTAACTAAGCCGATGGTTGCGAATTAAATATTAATATCTTTATTATAATGAATTTCCGCAAAGTAACGCCTGATTCTATTAATCATCAATTAAATTAACAATACAACAAATTAGAAATAGCTTGGTAGCGATCACCCTTCCCAGGGGTAACATGAGAGCGTGGTCCTTCCCGTCGAGTCCACCTACCCCTGCTACGACCATAATATAGTTATAGCACAATCGTTAGGCGTCTCTATTTTACAAGTGAACAAGCTAAACAATGATCAACGTGACTCTACCATGTGTTAATTTCATTAAAAAGTCGGAGAAATTTTTCGAAAATAATTTCAATAATATGCAAAAAATCATTAAAAATACCTCTGGATTCCTCATTCTAAGCTCCATCAGTATGTTGGGTGTGAGAGACATCATTGTTATCCCGAGGTACCGCTTAGAGACCGGCGGTGATGTCGCTTTACCTAAAAATTAAAATAATGTCCTACAGATTTCCATTCTCAATGAAGACTAGCCATGTGCGCAGAACAAGATTATAGTGCCCGAGTGTATGCGCAATGCAGGTGCACTCAGTTCAGATCAGACGCAGGACCAATGGCCTTACGTGCTTTCCAAGGCACGGAGGTGCACACATATACATACATAAATACTCACGCCTGTCACCTAGAGGGGTAGGCAGAGACTACAGACTTCCATTTGGCACGATCCTGACACACCTCTCTCGCCTCCTCCACATCCATATACCTACGCACACATGCTCGTCGGTTAAGGGTACTCCTAATTTGGCCCATTTCCAATATATCGCCAATTTGGTCGACAAACTATCGCCTAGAACGTTCGACTCTGCCGACTTTCCGACTCTGCCGTTCACTTCTGCAACATGAATTTGCTTTGTCATTCTTTCCTCATACATTCTTTCTACATGACCAAACCACCGAAGCATTCCTTTCTTAATCCTGATCACGTCATCTAGCAAACCACACTCTTCTCTCACCATTTCTCACCCTGTCACTCAGATTCAGCCCTAACATACTCCTTAACGACCGCATTTCTACTGCGTTTATTCTACTCTCTTGCTTTTTGTGCCACACCCAACTTTCACTACCATACGTTAATGTAGGGACTAACACAGCATTGTGAATTGCCATACGTGCCTTTTTTGACACTTTCTGACTTTCCACAATAGAGTGTAGAGCTCTATTTCCACGGAGGTGCAACAAATAATAAACAACATGAAAGGTTCAAAATGACTGGTCCCAAGCGCGTGTCATGACTTAGCCATACATATTGGACGTTAATGTGAATCCATTCTTATTGTTCACGCATCTATTTCGCACTGTATCTAAGGGCCGATATACACTTCGACAAGTACAGTAGTGAGTTTAGTTACAGGGCAGTTGACAGTAAACGGTTAAGTGAGCAGTACCTAACGTTTAAAAGTCTTCATGGCGAGTTTAGTAAAGAAAAGTACAATTTCATATTTTGAGAGTCGAACACTAACACGTTGCGTTCTGTCGACTAATGCACTGAAATAAACTCGCTCGTTCACGGCCAGTTAAGTTACGGGTGACGGGAGAAAAGCTGTAATGCAACACTTCGAACTTGACTCGCCGAAAAATAGACCGGCCGGCTATCCCGTTTAACTTAATTGCTGTTCAAACGAGGTTTTCTACTTAACTCACCAGGTTCGCAAGTTTACTCGCGACTGTACTTATCGAAGTGTAAATCGGCCTTATTTATAGCTGCTAATATAAGGAGATATCTCCTCATGGGGTAATCTGTGAGGATGCATATGTTAAGCAGTGGACTTTGTAACCAGTAATGAATGGGTTACGACAGATAGCGGTAGAACCATCTCGTTTACACCGGAAATGAAACACCTAGACCGGCGAAGGGCAACAGCGTCCACGGTAAGACGTCTGGTACAGCGATCGTCAACTAGGCATGCCGATCTGAGATCGATTAATCGAAGAATCGATTTCTTTTGCCAAAAAGGTCGATTTTTTAATCAATGTATAGTTACTACTGAATCGATCCAGTGAATCGATATTTCACCCTACAAATTTTTTTCTGTTTTCATAAGAACTATAACATTATTTACAATTAGTAGAATATACCGAAGCTCGTAAAGAACGACAGATTTTCTATTCATAAACTAGCAAAACTGAAAATAAAGAAATGAAAAATAAATTACTTTTGTAATCTGTACTTTGTACGAATCTGAAATCAAATCGAGAAACGATCGATTTTTGAGAAATCGATCTTTTAGACCTCGATTCTTTTGTTAATCGATTCATCAGATTTCGATTCGATTCGATTTAAAAATCGATCTTTTTCGGAAAAAATCGACATCCCTATCGTCAACCCGACTGCCAAACGCAAGAATTAAGACTATCCTCCCTATAACAGAAGAGCCCTACGTCCAGAAATGCATCTGTTTTTGAAGTGAAAACTTCTTTAGAATCGTTGGGTTTGAAACTCGATGAAACGAAAAAGCGACACTAAAAAGAGACATACATATGCATCTATAGGATTCAGCTTGTGAGAGAATGAGAGAGAATACAGTATACAGCTTGTCCTATTATGTATGGAGATTATGTTGTCTATGAGCAGTAATGATTAGGGAAGTAATTTGTAGATTAGAAAATATTTTATGTACTTACGATGATGAAATTGAAAACTTGGAGTGTATATTATATGTAATGTAATATATGTAGAATAAAATGTTAAATTATTGTTAAACTTAGTAACAATATCATAATAAACAAACCCTACAATTATCCTACTCCTGATACTCTGCATTTGTTTCATTCTCTCGAAGTTTCGTTTTCTAAAGCTTTCACTTCTGAAGGTGTAAATCGCACACATATGTTTTTACTATTACCCACCAGATGGGAAGTGGTGATGCAGCCGAAGATGATGAAGCGCACTGACTTAACAAAAACCTATTCACTCTTGTCTTGAAGTCACCCACTTTGTAATTGGATGGAGACAGGTAGATCCATCCATCCATTACAACCTATAAAAGTCCACTGCTGAACATAGAACATCCACCATACATTGTCTCGTAGGAGAGATTTTATCATAATGATACTCGGCGATGGCGAGTGGGTTGTCAACTGCAGTTTTTTTTAATTATTGTAAGTTGTTATCAGCAAGATACTGATGTCCATCACCTGTTTAAATTTCCCTCTGATGCCTCTTACTACATCCACGGGATGCCACGGTGTCATAGAAAGTCAGATGCTGGCAACTTGTTCGTTCGAATGATAAGTCGACAACGAAAGGGTGTAGACTGGTCAAGCATCTGGTTGTCCGATGGTGGAAGGGAGAGGGAGGAATTAAATTACTGAATTCCTGCACACACTCTGTGGGCTAATAAAGAAAAATAAAAAAATACATACCCTTAGCCAAGAAATCCTTGACATAGTCAATGGGTATAGCAAAGGATATGCCAGACGTCACATTCATACTGTTCACCCCGATAGCCTCTCCATCCAAGTTGACCAGTGGACCCCCACTGTTGCCAAAGGTTATTGGTGCATCGGTCTGTATGTATACCATGTCTTTACCTGTTAAGAGAAAAAAATTAATGAACATCCAACCCGTTGCTGGACACAGGCTTAAATTTTTTCAGAGTGGATAATTTTAACCGATTTGCCCATTTTAACCCTTTTACTGTGCCGTGTTTGAAAACCAGACGGCGAGTGTTAAACTGAAACGAAATCCCTTTTCCGATGCTACATGGTGTCAGAAAAAAAAACTATTGACAAAATGTAAAAGTCGGCTTCAAAAAACTAAAAAGAACAATCTCAAAGAGTAAAATTTTATACCTTATGTCACTTCCACAACTGAGACGAATCTAACGACATCTCATATGTAATACTATGTGTATGGTTCATATGTTACTAGTCTTATGTAATACAGTCACATGTAATACTATAAGTATGGTACAGGTGTGGCGTAAATAGTGGTCCACCGACAAGCATTCATAAAACAGATAATTTACTATTATTTTTTTATAGGATAGGGTGACACACAAGCACACAGTCCACCTGATGGTAAGTGGATGCTGTGGCCCATTGATATCTACATTTATCCTCGATTAAGAATCAAAACGTAGATGCGTTGTCACCGTTGAGGACAGAGATGAAACGCCTCGTTTCCAGTAAAGAAGGGTCTCCGGATTTCTACACTCACCATACGAAACACAGCAGTATTAAGCTACTATTTTACGCTGATATTCTGTGAGAGCGTGGTCCTTCCCCGGTCGAACCGACGCATTTGTGCTACAACCATAATATAGCCGCAGCGTGGCTCTACCACGTAAAAGATGTATCTACAGTTTTATGTAATAGTCACATGTAATACTATAAGTATGATACAGGATTTAGCGTAAATAGTGGTCCACAGACAAGCATTCATAAAACAAATAATTTACTACAACTTATTATTATTTTAACCATTTTTACCCAAGGGTTCTCGTCTTTTTTTAAAGAAGTTACTACATTTTGTTACCATTTTTGCTATATTTTCATCTAAAATCATTAATTTTTGATTTCTGTTAATTACTACTGAATAATAAATAGAGAAATCGTAAGAAGGTATTGTTTTTCTTGTAAATTTAGAGCTTTTGAATAAACAAATAAGTTCCTCTCTATTGTAACTTTTTATATATCGCTCAAATGCAAGTGCAATTTTTGTAAAAAAAAATGTACTACAACTGTTAGTGCTCATTCATTTAAAAATGTAATATTGTGGCCACCCCGCTCGCCAGACCTTAATTTCCTGGATTCCTTTTATTGAGGTTGTTCGAAAAAAAGTCTAAAAGGTTCAAATAACAAATATTGACCAATAAAGGACTGGAATCCAGGCTGGCCAGGCTCATCGCTGCAGAAATCAGCGAAAGAGGGGTTTGCTCGACAACAACGACAGTCGTTCGTTCGACGTTGTAGAGCGTGTATATCTTGACCTGTCGAGGGTATTTGATCTGGTCTCCTACAATATACTGTGGAAAAAATTGGAGGATATTAAATTACCAGGTCAACTGACACAGATTTTAAAATATTGGTATGGGGGACAGGTCAATTGCGTTAGATGGGCTAATGCTTTGTCTGAACCATACCGGTTGGAGTGCGGGGTGAGACAGGGTGGAATAAGCTCACCTAGTCTCTTTAACCTCTATGTAAATGGACTTATTGAGGCGCTTAGCAGCATGCATGTCGGATGTCATATAGATGGAATTTGTGTAAATAACTTGAGTTACGCTGATGACATGGTGCTGCTGAGTGCATCAATATGTGGATTAAGACAATTGCTTAGTGTTTGTGAGACATTCGCAGCCGAACATGGGCAGAAATACAATGCACAAAAAAGTCAGTATATGATCTTTGGGGCCGGACGGGATCGTACGCGTAATGTGCCTCCTATTAAATTGAATGGCACACCATTAACTAGGGTTGACTCTTTCAAATATTTGGGTCATATGGTTACGTCCGACCTCAAGGATACTACCGACATAGAAAGGGAACGTAGGGCTCTGTCGGTTCGTGCAAATATGATTGTTCGTAGGTTCGCGAGAGTTCAAGGGAGGTTAAACTCACTTTATTTAGAGCGTTTTGTACATCTCTTTACACATGCAGCCTGTGGAGGGACTACACGCAACGGGCCTATGGAGCTCTCCGGATCCAATATAACAACACGTTCCGGGTGCTGATGGGGCTGTCCCGACGCTGCAGCGCATCAGCGATGTTTTGCTCAAGCACATGTAGATTGTTTTTACGCAACTTTGCGTAAAAGAGCTGCATCGCTGGTGCGTGGGGTAAGGGCCAGCCCCAATGGCATTCTTAAAATGATAGGTGACAGAGTGAACTGTCTCTATCAGTAACATTGTTGTAGACTGCATATGTCCAGCAGTTAATTTCACTGCTGTTTATGTGTGCTGTTTAATAAATGATGAAAAGTTCTTAACAAACTGGATCGTCTTCTCAATAATTGTATTCGCTTTATCTTTGGCATACGTAAATTCGATCACGTCTCTTCATTCCGTTCTCAGCTCAAATGGCTGCCTCTTCCACTTCGTAGATCTTTTAGAATCCTTTCTATGCTATTCTCTATTTTACACGATCCGTTTGTCCCTGCATATCTGAAATGCAAATTTCAGTATCAGGGCGATTCTCACAACCGATGTCTTCGTTCCGCGGAAAATCTAACTCTTCATGTTCCTTTCTGTCGCACGGGCTTCTCTTACAATTCTTTCACTTCAAATGCAGTAAGACTCTGGAACATGTTACCTAGAAATATAAAAGAAGCAAAAACTAAACCTATCTTTAAACGTTTACTCTGGGAATATTACTTAAAGAAGCAGTAGTAGTTTCGGATTATAATAAGAAATTTAAAAACTTCAGAAACTGTTATATTCTCAAGTATGTATAGTATAAAAATATCATATTTATTTATTGTGTATGTATTTATTGTGGGTATTTGTGTATATATATAAAATAATATTGTATGCATGTAAGTAGTAGTGTAAATGTATATGTATGCGTATTGTTTATTATCATTATATTATAATTTTGTATTTTTTCCTTAAACCTTTAATTTTTTTTTTAATTATGAGTTTTGCACCCATCACTAGATTCTCTGCACAAACCAAAGGTAGACTGGTAGAGAATGCCTTTAGGCATTAAGTCCGCCGTTTTGTACATTTCTTTTATGTGTGCAAATAAAGCTTAAATAAATAAAAAAAAATAAAAGTATTACTTGTTTTTTAATGCTTTATTCAAATACGTAACCAGTTAGGTCCAGATCACTCTGCAGCAATAGTAACAAAAATTGTTATTTTAAGTTGTTTTCAATTGAAATTGCAACTTTTTTTTTATTAATGAGTCCTAGTAATATAACACCTAGTTATATAACTATGTAATAAAATATTTCAAAATCGGTGTTTAGTGGGCATAATTTTATATGAATGGTTACAGAACGTTTTATAGAATTTAATACGTTTTGTAACAGTAATAACACAACAAATTTTTTTAAACAGTAGTACATACAGTACATACATACAGTGGTAACATATGGTTCAATGAAAATCATCTCTTATTCAATTAAAATTCGATATCTTTGTAAAACAAGAGGACCTGTTATGGTGATACCACTTTATGTTTATAGTTTTATACTAATGTTTCATGACAGTATGTTTTTTTACAAAATCACACTTGAATTTACATGATATATAAAAAGTTAGGGTTACAATAGAGAATAACTTTTTTTTAATACAAAGCTCTCAATTTTCAAGAATAACTATTGTGTTTTCTCACGATTACTCTAGTATTCACCAGTAATTAACAGAAATCAAAATAAATAATTAATGGTTTTTATAATACATAGGGCAAACAAAAAGATCAATTAGAACCCGTGTAAAAGAACATATAGCTGACATGAAGTACCAACGGTCCGGGAAGTCTGCAGTTTGTGATCATATCCTAGGCGGCCCCAACAACTATTACATCAGATTTGATAGACCACAAATCCTTGCGAAAGAACATCGATTCCTACCAAGGATGATACGTGAGGCTATTGAAATTAAAAAAACATCCTAATTTCAATAGAGAAGGAAGCTGGGTACAACCACCTGCTTGTGACCCTGTAATTAATAAAATTAAAATAAAACCCAAGCATACCACTGCAAGACCTCAAGACACAGTTAATTCGGCGTAGATCGGACCATAAAAAATAATCAAAAAAGCTGAAGGTACTCCGGGTTAACATTGACATCGGTACGTCAGTCACCTCAGTCCACCGTTACCATGGGTGCTGGAAACAATCATAAATCAATCAAACATCACAAATTAAACGCGATAAAATCCGTAAGTCATTTTAATCAATGTAAAATAGCAGCTTAATACTGCTGTGTTATGTTTGGCGAGTGTAGAGAACCCTATTTAATAAAAAAAATAAGCATTCCAGCTTAGTCCTCTGGAATGACAAAGCATCTGCAGTTTGATTCTTAATCGAGGATATATGGAGATAGGTTTGCCAAACGTCCTATATTTTAAAGGACACCTCTATTTCAAACCCAAAAATTTATCTTGTCCTCTAGTTTGCAACATTTAAAAGAGGACAAGGCAATATCGTATATTCGACATTCCGTCTGCTAGTTAAGGTCTAAAAGTTTAACGATCACTTTATGGTGACGTGCAATATTAGACACAAACTATGTTACATTGAATATTAACATTGTTTTACATTAATATATATTACTACTGATACCATAACAGCATTTTATTGAAAACAATATATCCTTTATTTTCATCCTTGTCTCTTATTTAATTTTATTAAATCCTCTAAAGCATAACACGGGAGCTGGCAACCCCATGTGTAACTTGGACCACAGCATCCACTTACCATCAGGTGGACTGTGTGCTCATTTTTCACCCTTGTTCAATAAAAAATACACATAAGTCATACCTCGTAAACCAAGCTCCGCGCTGGCTCTTTGAGCGGAACTTACTACACCAACTGTGACAGTGTTACTTAGCGCAAGCGGACTGCCCATTGCAACAACCTGAAAAATAATAAATATACAAAAACCATCTGCGCAGAGCAGGGTTATATGCGCACGAGCACAGGTGTACTCTTTATTCCCTCACTCTCACAATCCGATGGAGCGGCTATTCGACGCATCGCCTGATCAGGCGCAAGACAAACGGTTTTTCGTGCTTTCTGAGACATGCGGGTGAACCACTAAAATCCTGACTCTGGGCTGCTTAGGAGACTAAATCCAATAACCGATTTAAACGTCTTCCAATGCAAGATGAAGAGTTTCGAGGGTACAACGTCACCCGGTCTTAAACCTCTCTGAGTTGGATAGGTTTCAAACTTCGGTTCTGTACTCGGATAGCCATCATAGCCCCACTGTGCAAACAACTTGGCACCACTGAAGGGATTGTAACACCAACCAAAATTTCAACGGGATCAAAGGCTTTTTCATAGCTGCAGATTGTGCTCTTCGATCTTCTGTACAGTTTGCCGAAGGGTGTCTATGGTACATACAAAATCCTTTTCGAAAAACGGCTGAGTTGCTGAGTTTACGTGCGAGACGATTCTTTAAGAAAGGTGAAAACACGACAAAGCGTTTTCACCTTTCTTAAAGAATACACTATGGAGGACGAAATTAAAGAGCTTCCTAAGGACTTCAAGTACTGGTTTTCCACCAGCTTTCAGAAGCTCCGCTGTAATTCCATCCTTGCCCGGGACCTTGTTGTTTTTAAGTGCTGGAGAGCCATTCTAATCTCGCTCATACTGTCATCCGAGAGATCATCGAAATAGTATAATACTTGTAAGACTTGCCCTTGGATCATTACTCACACTTGCGTGTGGCACCAACAATGATGTGTACAGCTGCCCATAGAACCTCTCAATCTCACTCAAAATCTCAAGTGTCCCGGAAACAATACTGCCACACTCAGTCTTCAGCTTTGACAGTTAGCTCTTTCTGGCAGACAGATCTCTGGCAAAGACTTGGAAGCATCGGATATTCTCTATAATAGAGTTGTATAATAGAGTGTAATAGAGCTGTATTGAAGTTGCATAAGTCTCGCAGCATACATTTAGAGATCTGTCTGTTCAATTGCCTGCATGCTGTCATATCTGCTGTAGACTACAATATAATTTCTTGTCTAACAGCCATGAAACTCAGAAGGTGATTGGAAAGTTATTGAGTTCTTCTGCGATGGTTCTTGCAGAACTTAGCTCTGACAGTTTCCACAAGCTTGGAAGAGCTGTTCGGTTCTTTTACAACGAGTCTTGCAAAACTCATGGACAGTTTGAACAAGCTCGTCATTAATATCATCCATTGTGTTGCAAGTTAAGACATTGAAAATGTTTTGTAATTCAAGTGGAAAATTTTCAAGGCTTTGGATTAGAGCATGGAACAGAACGGTCTGCTTCGTCGTTATTAATGCGTACGGCAAAGGTTTGGAATATGTAGGCAGCATGTTTTTCGATCCGATTACAATGTGGGTGTCTTCAAGGCAAGCGTTCTGGCTCGCGCTATCATGCACTGCTGTGATAAGTTACTGGTGTCAAGGTAATCTATCCTAGTCTTCAGGAGTGAAAAAGCTGCGAATATTGTATATTAATTAAGAGTAGATGGATGTAGGAGCCACAGTATAGACATTCCATCAGGTGGACGGAAGTACACAGTTGTTTGCCACCCTTGTATAAATAAATGAAATTATTACCGAACTAGCTTTAACGTCAGACTATGTCTGTATAGAACCAAAATAATAAAATACAGACCTTTTTTATAACAGTGGTTTTATTGTAGATATTGGAAAAATCACTTCAAGTTTTTTGCGGTTATCTCTATAACTATAACGATATTGGAAAATGCTTAACAATATTGGCTTAGCCATATTAGCTTAGATCAATTCTGGCAATGATTTCTATCTGTTCGTGAAGTTTTATCACAATCATTTCAGTCATTCCACAAATCATTGCATCAGACAGACATTCAGGTCCTAATAGCATAAAAATAACCCTCTGATCTTAAAAGAAGCGAGATATTTCTGTATTATAGACAGGTACTTTTTTCATTGTATTTTTTTGGTATATATTGCAATATATATAAAAAATATATATATAAAGTCTAGATTTTTGATCAAGAACCGCAAGAAGACAAAGTTACAACTTAATCTTATCACTAAAACCTCAACAAATCCAGTTTTTTGATGAAAAACCTAGACTGATTTAGTTTTATGATAAAATCAACCAAACCTTAAATAATAATTTAACAATTAAGTAATAACTTTGTATTCTTACGTTTCCTCATCAAAAGCCTAGGTTTTTGATTAAAAACCTAATTTTATCATAAACCAACGACATATAAATTACATAGGAATTTAAAAAATAATTGTTGTAAGCAATCTTTACCCACTCTCCTGGCCTAATATCAGCTGATGACCCAAGCTTCATTGTAGGTAGGTTTTTAACTGGTAGCCGTAATGTTGCCAAATCAGATTTTAGATCCACATCCTCAACTACAGCTTTGTATGTAGAGCCATCCTTAAAAACAAATGACAAGTATTAAGAATAGAGAAAACCAATTATTTTGAAACTCCCACAGATGTTTTAGCCTCTTGACAATGTTAAGCAATGAATACATTAAGATGTATTAACATTGAAATGTCTTTTCATAAAACAAAATAAAGTTTACGATTACTGTCATTACAAAACTAAAAAGCCGGAAAATGAGAGTAGGTCCTGCGCCCGAGGGTTCCATATAGTTTATCCATCATGGGAGTTATGGGTAGGGTAAGCATCGAACATAGCCCTATAATAAAAAGGTAAGTTGAATTAAGAAACGAATTTAACTTTGGAATTTTTTTTCCATACATCAATGTAGACTGACAAAATAAAGTACCAAAGTAAGCTAACGTCTCCACCCGGGGGTTTTGAGGTGACAAACACTAACAGTCGTCAGTCAATCAGTCGCACCTAGAAGATTAGGCAGAAGATGTTAATAGTCATGATAGGCAGCTACCATGAAGCATGTCCAGAAATCACTCCACCAAGGCTTGCTGAGGGAAAGCAACCGTGGTGGTGTAAAGAACTAGATAGGAAACGCAAGTAGGTAAAAATATCCCTAAATAAACGCAACTGGGGGCGGCAGAGCTTCAGAGCTGCATTAATTACCGCTAAAAAGGACACCCAGCGAACTATAGTGGTTGTTCCAAAGTGCCGTGACGTAAACAGCGCAGAGGTAAAAGCTGTCCCAGACGTGCGGATCAGACTATTGTGTCACGCTCTCGGCTACCTGCCCCCAAACCTGAACCATCTTCGCACACACACACACAATAAACTAGAGTGCATTGTCTTTTTATTAAAGACAATGCACTCTAGTTTGTTTGCACCTAGGTTCCTAGATAGATTAAACTTCGCTTAGCGCTACTGGGGTATTGCACGTCGTATTGTTGAATTTAAAATTGCAAATAGTTAAAATTTATTTGTAGCTATACTAGCATATACTACAGGTAAATGGACGCTTATTTTATTTAATTTGACCCGCTGTAGGTTTCTGTTTATCTAATTCCGTAATTCGTAATATTTATATGAATTTATATATGACGGCGCGTTTGATTATTTCGAAGATTATTTAGGAGTGAACTCCAACCGGATATACAAAACGCCATCTGTCGAAGTAATCGGTTGTCGTTCACTCTGACGCAACACCAAGGGCTAGTGTAAGTAGAAGCAGCGAGGACGCGGCAGTTCGCTTCGAGACGGCAATCGGTTCACATCGCAAATAAGCATTACGTTCCTGGTGGAGTGTTTAACGAATCAGTGTCTCTAATAACTTTTGATGTAATACCCTAATTATATTTAGTGTGAATTACGTCGTTTAATTCTCCTTGCCCGATTACCCACGTCTAATTAAAATCGAATATGGATCTAGAGGAAATAGCAGACCACCCTGACGTCCCTTTATCAGAAGTGGGATACGAAGGGCATTCGCAAGGAGAAGATAGCAATGCGCACGTGGCATCATCGCACAATTTACTGCGCAACATGGAGGCCATATTATCTCGCCTCTTGAAGACGCCGTCGCTCACCGAAGATGCAAACCGCATGACGACACAACTAGTGCGATTTGACCCAGACGAAAAAGACATGGACATAGAAGGTTGGTGCAGGATAACGGAAATAATAGTGAATAGTAGGAAACTAGATGGTACGGAACTTTTGCTAGCGCTTACACACGCTTTGAGGGGACGGGCAGCCACGTGTTTGACCAAATTGCAAACTTCACAGTTAACATGGACGCAAATAAAGGAATTACTCCTAGCAAAATTTGGAAAACCGATGCTACCGCAAGACTACTTCGACGAGATATTAAGATTCCAACTCGGTGCGAAAGAAACCGCAAGTGAAGCTGCGACGCGTGTCTGGGGGATGATAGAGCGTATCCCTCGCACCGAAATGTCAGAAGATGTCGTCACAGGGTTTGTAGCTTCTGTGCTATGTCAAAAATATGGTATTATACGACGAGAGCTGCAATCTTGTAATATATCTAGCAGAGCTCAGTTGTTACGGGTTCTCAACGGTATTTCATCAAAACGAAAATACGAAGGACAAGAAATTAACGAGACGGAAGTGAAATGAAGTCGCTACAATGAATCACGCTTTCCTGGAACGTGTCATCGGTGTGGTATGTCAGGTCATCGAGCCTTGGACTGTCGAAAACGCCGCGAAGAGCCTGTTACTAGAGCAACTACGAAGACAGTTGAGCAGCACATGAAGATGCAAGTCCATCCGCGTCCTGTTACTTGTTACGTTTGTGGCCAACAAGGGCACGTCGCATCAGCGTGTCCAGACCGTAAAAGGAGCAACGAGAAACCGGCTGTCAGCAACGTCCACCTGTGCGAGCGGAAGTCGGCAATTGGCACCTTTACTACGTCCACGGGTGAGCTCGTTTCTTTTCTTTTTGATAGTGGTTCCGCCTGTTCATTAGTGACTTCCGACTTGGCCAGTAGGCTACCGGGTACGATACGTCACGAACTTGTATATCTCGCGGGTATTGGAGATAATAATGTAGTGAAGTGTGACTCGCAGATTCTTAGCCCCATCAATGTTGAAGGCATTCAATTAGATATATTGTTTCATGTAGTTCCCAACGCCGCTATTAGTGAACCGGTTATTATAGGTAGGGATATTTTAGAGAAGAGTGTCAATGTCGAGATTAGTAACGAACGTATTCATTTCTCGTTACGCAGGGAGGTAGGCATTGTAGGGAAATCGAGTCAGTATGATTTCACCAACGTTGATACAGATTTACAAGGTGAGCATAGGGTAGCCCTCATTAGGTTATTACAAAAATACCGCGAATTCTTCATAGATGGCATACCAACACGTCGCGTCTCAACAGGTTTCATGCGAATAGAGTTAGTTGACCCAAATAAAACTGTTCAGCGGCGCCCTTATAGGTTGTCACCGGCGGAAAAGGAGATAGTTAGGGATAAAATAAGACATCTTATAGAAGCGGGAGTCATTCGTGAGAGTACGTCACCCTTCGCTAGTCCGATACTACTCGTTAAAAAGAAAGATAACTCTGATAGAATGTGTGTAGACTATCGCGAGCTTAATGCTAATACCCGACCATAACATTACCCGTTACCGATAATCGACGAGCAGATAGATCGATTTCACGGTGCTCGTTATTTTTCGTCTTTGGACATGGCGTCAGGCTATCACCAGATCCCGAGGGCGACAACATAGCTCGTACAGCTTTCGTGACCCCCGAGGGTCAATACGAGTTCCTTGCCATGCCCTTTGGCCTAAGAAGTGCAGCATCAGTCTATCAAAGGTGTATTAACAAAGCTTTAGGTTCGCTTAAGGATACGGTGGCATTAGCATATATGGATGATGTCCTCTGTTATTCTGATGACGTCACACGAGGCCTTGAACGTTTAGACCTTACACTACAAGCTCTATGTAATGCGGGTTTTTCTTTGAACATTCATAAATGTAAATTCATGAAAAACAAAGTAGACTTTCTAGGTTACGTCGTGAAATCAGGGCAACTCCCAATCCTAGGAAGGTACAAGCACTAACAGACGTACCTGCCCCGCGAACAGCCAGTCAAGTTCGTCAATTTTTAGGTCTCGCATCTTATTTTCGGCGTTTTATTCCAAATTACACCCGTTTAGTAGGTCCTTTAAACCTCCTGACAAAACTAAGAGGACCGATAACCTGGACGAACCAACATAGTGAGATCCAAAAACCATAGTTAGCATATTGACATCAGAGCCGGTCTTGACGATCTTTGACCCCAATTTCCCAGTAGAGCTTCATACAGACGCGAGCTCAGAAGGGTACGGTGCAATAATTATTCAGCGACATAATAATCTGCCACATGTAATATCCTACTTTAGCCGTCGGACAACCGAAACCGAATCGCGTTACCATTCCTACGAACTTGAAACCCTGGCGGTAGTCCGAGCGGTTGAGCATTTCAGACATTATCTGTATGGACAGCACTTCACAGTTTTCACGGACTGTAATTCCCTTAAGGCGTCGAAGTCTAAAACCGATCTTACACCCCGAGTCCACCGATGGTGGGCTTTCCTCCAAGCTTACGATTTTGACATTGTTTATAAGCAAGTAAGTAGTATGGAGCACGCCGATTTCCTCTCCAGAAACCCACTCGATGAACCTACAGCGAACTATCCCGATACCCATCCATCCCAGAGAAACAAGTCCATACAATTTGTTGAGCTTCATCAAGGTTGGCTGATGGTCGAACAAAAGAGGGATAGAGAAATACAGGATCTAATTAACAAGCACAACAACAAAGAACTGCCTGAAGCCGTTGCCCATACCTACGATATTCGAAAAGGGATATTATAGGGAAAATTGAACGTAACAAAAGTAGCTATTGGCTCCCAGTTGTACCGCGCTCCCTCACTTGGACTTTAATAAACCACGTTCATACAGAGATTAAGCACCTCGGCACTGAAAAAACGCTAAACAAACTTTACGAGCAATATTGGTTCCCACAAATGTCAAAGCTAGTGCGCAAATTTGTAGATTCTTGTATAGTATGCAAAGCCTCGAAGGGCCCGTCAGGCCTCCAGATAAGACTTCATCCGATTCCAAAAGTTTCTACTCCTTGGCATACCATACACATCGATATCACGAGCAAACTCAGTGTAAAAAGCGATCGCAAAGAATATTCGTCGGTTATTATCGATTTCTTCACCAAATACATCCTTCTTGAATATACCCCCTTGTTAGATCCAGCAAGTGCTATTATAGCTCTAAAAAAAGCGGTTTGCCTTTTTGGAATACCTAAACGCGTTATAGCTGACCAAGGGAGGTGCTATATAAGTGCCGAGTTTAGAGAATTTTGTAGGGACCATTCCATAGACCTTCATCTTATCGCAACAGGATCTAGTAGAGCGAACGGCCAGTGCGCGTAATGCGCACCCTGAAAAGCATTCTCACCATAGTTGAGAACGACCCGAACAAAACTTGGCGAGATGAACTTCTAGATGTGCAGTTAGCTC